ATAAGCTTACAAGTTTTATTTTCTTAATTCTTGATGATATCAACTCCGCACGAAGTGATGAGTACTTCTTATACACCTAGAAATATGCATGAGCCAGATCCTGTGCATCATGATATAAGTATGAACTGTTATTTATTAATCGGAATTAGTTCCACCCTTAGCACTGCAAACGACGTCACATTTTCACCAACCTCACAGCGTCGCCCTGGCAGAGATGATGATTTATTTTCATTAGATCGATGATCATTCAAGAAAGCATAGGCGAATACGTGCGGTAGCCAGCGAAACGATATGGAGCAGCCGAGCGCGTGGCTTCACGCGTATTCACGCGCAGCTCTGTTCACGCGTAAAGAACCAGAGTTGCGCGTTCATCCCCGTAGCGCCGTCTTTCCTGCACGGCATGTTGATCTTGCTCCTCACGTGACTGAATTCGGCGAATAGCGGCGCCGCGCGTTCGAGGCGCGCGGCGCGCTCAAAAGCAGGAGAACTTACTGTCGGGGCGTGTGCAACGTCTACTTTCCTGCACGGCATTTGATTCGGATCCTCACGTGATCGGATCTCGGCGAATAGCGGCGCAGCGGCATGCCCTACGCGTCCCTGCAGGCGCTATCTGCCAGGAGAAGCAGTGCTATCTAAAGTCCTTCGATGTGTTTGCGTTTGTCTTGCAATGAGCGTCAAATATGCCAGCGGGCAAGGCCCGTGTCCCGAGCGGCCCTTGGAAGAGCGAATGGCGGCAGAGCACCCGCTCGTTGCGCGTGTCTTGCATTTTTCCATGACAATGGTCGGCTGTACTTGTAAATAACGCGTTTGTCAAAAAGCTTTATTGGTATCTGGTGTCACGCGTGGCCTGTCACACTTGCGCACAGCTCATCCAAGCACTCAGCGGATGATCGTGCTTGGTGCACAACCCCTGATCAGTGATCACCGCTTTCAATGAGCTTGCAACATGTCTGCGTTTTTGTTTGTGCGTTAACATTAATACGCACATGACAGGCAAAAGCTGACGGCGTCCGTCCGTGGACAAAACAGTGGAAAGGGAAGCGCGCCGCTTAGAGAGGAGAGTAGTAAAGGACAAAGGCGAGAAAGAGGTGACGTCACGGGGTGGAAGCCAATGCGCGTGCGGATGCTGGTTCGAGTTCGAACTTGCAGGTGTGCGTAGCGCGTATGCCTTGGTTCGTGCTACGAAATGGAGTGTAAAAACTAAGTACTATCGCTGGTCCAAGTAGGTGGCAAAAAAATCAAGGAAAGATACATTGATGTATCTTTAGGTAAGGCGTTAGTATGACCCTTAACAAACGCCACACACGTCCCCCTTTGGGAAACGCTAACACTGACCCTGTAACAAAGCCAAAAAGAGGCAGCAAGAAATATAGGAACCAAAAGAGGACACCAAAATAGAAAGCCAAGGCAGAAAAGTGAAGGGGTCAGCAGTTGCCCAAAACGGGACGTGTATGGTTTTTCCAAAGGGTCATGCTAAAGCATTGCCCAATACCGGAGTCACGCTGCTCGTATTGGCGACGTGCGCGACCAAAAGCGTCGCTGTGGTCGGCCTTCCACGATTGGCTCAAAAGCTGACTAAAGGGCCGCCCACACTAGCGAGAAAACGCGCGTGGCACGCCGATCGCGGCAAGTAACAAAATGTCGCCGAAGCACAGTCAGCGCCACGAGCGCGTGCAGAGACACGCCCTTTATCTTCCCGCTTAACCGATTTATCGGCGCGCCGGGCGCGTTTTCTCGCTAGTGTGGGCGGCCCTTATGACGTCGGAAAGGGTATACCATCGACAGAAATAAGAGGAATGAAAGAACTTTAGTTTCGACGGTGTTGGCAGTGTTGCTTTGAGAGCGCGATGATTTCAGGCTTCCACCATGTTATTTACAAACACCATCGAACTTGTTGTTCGCAAGGTAATGACGTCACAAGGGGGAACCATAGGAGGGCGCCACCAGAACATCTCGCCGCTAATACAGCATCCAAAAGACATTCTGCAAACACGAGTTACCGCAATATTCGTGGTTCGAGTGCCGCGAGTCAAGTTTCCTCCTTGAACACATTACCATGAGGTATTCAAAGCACGGATATCACGGTGACTCTCGTTTGAATCTGCATTCAGTCTGTCTCTTGTATGATGTATAAGCAGTGGGACTCGGGCTTAAGGAACCCCCAATAAATCTTGTTTAATTGTTTTTTTTAGTAGAGTGCAGATCTATAGTTTTACAAAGGTTAAAGTGACGAAAAAAGTGACCATCACTCGCAGCGATTTCACACTTTGTACCACCAGTGTTCTACACGTTCCTCCAAAACAGGAACGGAAGCTCGTTTCCTCGTTCCCTCTCAATCTTGGAACAACTTCCCCTGTGGTTCGAAAGGAACGCGCTGTCGTTACATTTATAGGATTGGAAAGGGTCGTTACTTTAACCCTACCTGTGCGCATTTAAATGAAATATTGTGCTGGATAATCTGCATGGGCGTACCAACCGAGATGGGGGGGGGACAAGGTGGGCGGGAAGGGCATGTGTTTTGCCCCCCCCCCCCCCCCCCCCCCCCCCTGAAACAGCCGCCACTAGGCAGGGCAAACACTGGCTGGCGGCGCCCAAGGGATACCAAGGGCACCGCCCCCGGCCCGGGGGGGGGGGGGAGGGGGGGGGGGAGGAGGCAATTTGGCCCCCCCCCCCACTCAAAAACAAGTTGGTACGCCACTGATAATCTGCAAATAAAACAAAGCGAGCAAGGTAAAATATCCAGATCGAACTACGCGTCCAGTCGCCACAATCACATTGTTTCCATTTTATTTATTATTTTTTTTTTTACTATTTCTGGGACACTTTTCCATCCTTGAAGACGGAGGCTGAAGTGGTCGCTTATAAAAAGCACAAAATGCCCACTAAAGTCGGGTAAAATAAAAAAAAAAAATACAGTGCAGCAGATTACAGGGCAACAACCTCGAGTACGACGTCTAGACGACGTCGAGGACGACGTCCCAGGGGACGACGTCGAAGACGACGTCTAGGACGACCTCTAGCATTACTTTTAGGACGACGGCGAGGACGTCGTCAAAGTCGTCAGGTCCTTCGAAGAGCGTGCGAATGTGAAGGAGTGCGTACTGCCGCTCCGGATACGCGCGGCGAAATGGGCTGCAAAGACAGTGAGCTGAAATCGTCTACTGCGCATACCTACTGCGCATCAGGAGGCCAAGAAATACCCATATTGCTGAAAATCTTGAGTAGTAGTTCAGTAAGGATGTAAAATTTAAAAAAAAAAAAGATTTTGCAGTTTTTTTGAAAACGTAACGAATTCCCTCTCCAGTTTCACCGACACAAAATGGAACGGCGGCGTCCCTCCGTTCCTCCTGAAAAGGAACTCGTTTTAGGAACGCCGTTCATTGGAATGCCCTTGAGTACAACACTGGTTTGCATCAGGCTTGTACGATACTCAATAAAAGTAATCAAATTACTTGCAATCGAATAGTTTTGGGAATAATTTGTAATAATTAAATTTTATTAATCAGAAAGTAATCGCAAGAGTAAAGCGCGAGACACATGCGCGAAAAATCCGTCCGATCCGACGTCCGATCCGGCAATACGACTGCCTGATCCGAAAAATTTGGTCGCGTCAGGCGTCGGATCGGCGATCCGACGTGCGTCCAACGCGCCAGATAGTTTCGCACGGCGGACGGATTGTCGGATGCGTCCAGCCAATGACAGCACAGCTAGCGCGAACGTCATGATGACGTACTGGGTCTGTCGGGACGAATCAGAATACGGGACGGGCGACGGGAAGCCGGACGCGTGGATCCCGCCGACCCATTCGAGGAAGATGGCCCCGGCAAAGAATGCACGCGCTAACGAGAACGAGCTTCTAAGTTTGCTCGTGTGAGCTAAACCGTCAATCTGGGACCAGAGATCTGCGAACGCGGACCTCCGCTGGGGTGCTGGGATCTCCTGGGCGGAGCCGAACGGATCGTCGTGTCGCATGCAAGGTCGGAAGCGTGTGTCTCAAACTGTCGCGTGCGGCAATTCGGAGCGGCGTTCGGACTGTCGGATCGGACGTCGGATCGGACGATTCTGTCGTCCATGTGTCTCGCGCTTAATACGATTACTTCTGGCAGTACTAAACTGAGTTGTACCCGCTACTATTTTCTCTTCCATTCCTAAAATATTATTTATTTGCTTATTTATTTTTACAAAGTGCAGCCCCTAATGGGGATATGGCAGGATAAGAGATTATTTACACACAGTCAAGGACATCACAATAACCCACTGTCAACGGTACACAGACATTCTTCCGGTTGTAGTGTCCAGACGTTTCCTGCTAACAAATTAGAACGTTCAATGGTGTGAGGAAAGAAACTGTATCTAAATGTGTCGGAACGTTGATGAAAGGCCGGTAAACTATTTAAATTGTGGTGGCTCCTCGTTGAAGTTGGGTCGATAAAATTGATGTACGTATCTAAAGAGGCGAAACGCGATCAGTTTATAATAAAATAAAATGTCTCAATATCACGGAGCTCAGAAAGAGGACTTAGGCCTAAATCGGGGAGGTTAGAGGAAGGAGAAAAGTTTCGGTCATACCGACGACAAATAAAACGTACCGATTTCTTCTAAACTAATTTGAATTTATTTGTCAGATTGTTTGTAAATAAACCATATTAAAAAGCCATAAGCGACGATTGGACGAATTAAAGTTTTGCAGGTTCAAACAATACGCTCGTTTTCAATTGTAAAATACAGTAACCCATCCTTCTATTGTTTCCTGTAAGATTTACTGCACCTTCTCGTCTGTTGATGCACATACACAAGAAGTGGCTCTCCAGCATCTGCTACACCCTACTGCAACGATACGATCCAATATTGGTGCTCCAGGACCACACACCTACTGCGTCCGTCTGCAGCATATTCCGCGTTGCTGCTCTACACGTATGGTAACCCCAACAGGAAGGATTATGGCCAGTCATTGCATTTACACTTTATTGCACCTAAAGAACCCATTACAAAGCGCTAGCTTACTTCTTCGTTACATTGCAATTGTTTCCAGAAAACTCTCCAATGCAGCTGGCAAAGGAGAGCACGTAAGGGATGAAGGTCTGGTCGTGCACTCCAGAGAATAGGTGCGCCCAAGGGCCCTCCGCGTACACTGCAACGTCTTCGCCCCCGTGGGTCTCGCTACGTCTAAAAAAGGTAGCTGGCTGAACGAAGTCGACGGACGCTGCGAAAGAAAGGCTCTCCGTCACACTCTTAGACGCACCTGAGTTTATATCAAAATTAACTGTTGGGCTAGTTGGATAAACATCGTGAAAAAAATTAGCGCAAGAGATAAGAACAAGACGAAGATACGAAGACGAAGCGCTTGCCCTGTTCGTATCCTCGTCTTATTCTTGTTCTTTGCGCTATTTGTTTTTACTATTGAGTTTATATTTCAGCGTAATACACTGGGAACACCAATGACTGTGTTTACTTTAACCGGTTTAGCCAGCGAAAAGCACGAGCGGTACCTCACCCCAACAAGAATATACTCGAGGGAATCTGAAGCGTTTTCTTTCCCGCGAAGCGTTTGGGAGAGCAAATCGCCGCAAATGTAGGGAGGAAGCTCGGCGAATGGCGTGGCTGACACACAGTTTAGACCCCCCAAAAAACTTGTAAGCAGTTTACGTTGTGTCACTTATTCTACATACTTCAGTTTTCTTAAGGCTCTGCTGTACTCCGACGTCGAGCGTAGCAAACGCGCCGTAGCGCAGCACACACAGATGCTCATCGGTCGTGGATATCAAGTTCCTGCTCGCCGGCCAATGAAAGCCGCGCGTTCTGCGCTACGCTGCGTTCGCTGCACTCAACGTCGGAGTATAACAGAGCCACTAGAGTGTGCATACTCGGTGCCAGAAAAGAATACTGCATCGTGGATGGATGGAACAGTGGAGTCTGTTGACTGTCATTTTTGTTTCGGGGAACCAGAATTAACATCACCTACACACTGCCATGGCCTGCTTACCTTAACTACGCTGCCTGAAACGCGTCTCCGACTTGTGTGTTTGACGTCCTATGCGGAGAGCAAGTCGTCTGCTTCTCGCGCAGGAGTTGCGGTGACGTCAGAAAGACGCCGAGCTCTGATTGGCTCTGATTTGAAGGATAGGGGGTAGACCTCAAAGCAAGCTGCCTTGAGGTCTACCCACTATCCTTCATTCAGGACCAATCACAGCTCGGCCTTCTGACGTCACCACAATCCAAAAAGAAGCAGACGAACTTTCGCTCCGCATTCCGACCATGCATCGAAAGTGGTCCCGAAGTGGCAGCAACTGAAGTCACGAAAGCCGGAGTGCCATGCTGTCAGATGTCGCGATCCTTGCGGTTGGTCGTAGAAAGGCTAATGAAAAGCACGAGCGAACGCGAGTGTCGCTGTGGTTGTGGTCCGAAGCCTTCGTGTACCGTCAAGCTGAAGAGCGATCTGCAGCAGAACAGGCGTCCTCACATCCACCACTTCTATTGTGACGCCGCCGGGATCGCGGCCGGCGACAGCATGACATTTTTGTGATGTCATCAGTCGGGAATTGAGAGACCACTTTCTTTTTTGAAGCAGTAAACAGACAAGTCGGAGACACGTTCCAGGCACCATCCCTCTTGCGACCGAGACCGCATCGTGGATGGAAGGAACTGTGGAGTTCGTTCACTGTTATTTTTGTAACGGGGAACCTGAGTCAGCATCACCTAGATACTGACAAGGCCGGCTTACTATAATGGTAAGCAGGCCGGCAGGTCACACCATCATACTCGTGAACAACTTTCTGGGGCATTTCAGAAAAAAAAGAAGTGAAGTGTGTTTGATCAGTGCTGAAGACGCGCGAGCTCACGTACATCCATAGCCTGATAGCGGCCTCCTAGCCACAGAAATGTGTCGTCAAGTATAGTATAGCTTGCTTACTCTAAGGGCCCGTTCACACACTTGCTTACGACCGAGCTCTTGTGATCTCTTACGACGAGAGAATGCACTGGCACGCTGGCGCCATCTATGAGGTGATCCTGCAACTGTATTTCACTTGAGCGCATAGGTTTCGCTGTATTTACGACGCCAAATGTACGTTCTCTTTATGAGAAATGGTCGTTTATAACATAGTCAAACGTTTTCCAAGCCAAGAAATAAAAAATGATGCGCGAACAAATAGGGAATATGCGAAAGCTGCAAGCGTTCCACTGTCATCCGATACACGGCGCCAGTGTGTTCTCTCGTCGTAAGAAATTTCAAGAGGTTTTATATCACACGGTCGTAAGCGATCGCAACAGCGTGAACAAGCCTTAATGGTAAGCAGGTCACACTGGTGGTCCGATAACGGGTGGCGACGCCGGCTGTTAAGGTTTGCTCTCTTGTCATCATATTCACGTGACTTTGCTGGCACTGCCAATAGCAAGCGGTGTCCGGACAGTCAGCGTTACGTTAAGTGCTGTGGAAATGGAACAGTGCAAATGCCAAGTGTCTACTTCGTTTCAATTGAAGTCCAGACTGCACCGTGTTTCACGCAGCCGACGCTACGAGCTAATGGGGAGCAATCAAGCAGAGTCCAAAGCACAAGTCACGAGCCCTTTCAGTGTATGATGGGTTAAGCGATGATATAGAAGACGTACAGAAACACGACGAACAGCATTATGGAGAGCTTTTGACGCTGTCTGATTTCTATGAGCTCGTAGCGTCGGCTGCGTCTGTACTTAAACGAAGCATTGGTGGTTGTGGCAGAGTTCGTGCTCTGCTCCAGTCGAAGCATAGCCGAGGGGTCTCAAGCACGCGGCCCGCGATTCTTTGGGACGCGGCACACAAACATCCGGCGGCTGCGAGCCCCCGTTGCCATGCGTCGAGCGCTACATGCGCCATAAATAATAGTTTTATATCGTCGATTAATTTCAGCTCGAAAGAAGCTCTGCTCATATAACGTGTTCATACATTTTGCACTATTTTTTTATAGGAGAGGGGGGGGGGGGGGGAGGAGAGAATTGCTCCGTCTAAATATTTGATGAATAAAAGGTTAAAAGCGCGAACAAAACGGGTACAAAGAAGACACGCAGACGACAGGACAGGCGCTTTTGCTTCTCAGCCCTTTCATACGTAAATCAACCATAACGGAAATACCAACACTAGGCTACGAGTGCGAGCTTTTTGCTCAAAAAGGCACCTCGGCTGCGCAAACTCTCACTCAGCTAGCAACTGCCAAAGATAAAGCTATGAGCTCGGGCCTCTGGCCGCCAGAAAAGACCTTTGAAATATGGGAGTTTTCTTATAAGGCTGCTGTAAAAATAGTCAGGAAAACAAAAACTACCGTACGAAAAGATATTTTTCATGTTTGTTGAGCCATTGTGCGACAGAACACTGAAGGTGTCTTTGACTTGTTCTACTGAAAACTGCCGGTACGTTGGTGTTTTAAATCTTATAACATCAGGGTGGATCCAAAGTAGTCGTATAGCAAATTAAAGCTAAACATGAAAAAAATAGTGAGCTTACAAAAAGCAGAAAGCACAAGGCTCCTCTAGAAAATGACTACCTATAGGTGTCGTTGGGACAGTCGGCTGCTTTGCAGCGCGACACACCACTGCTGCCTGTTGGTTTATTTTCTTAGAGCGCAGCTCTTAGGCGCCCGTTTCCGGCATAAGCAGTCACCGTCGGCGTCGGCGTTGGCGTAACCGCACGTTGCATTATGGGACATTTCCCATAATGACGTCACACGTGACGTCACGTGTGACGGCACGAGGTGAGGTGAGGACAACGTTTATTTAAACTTAGGACAAACGCCAATCCCCAAAGTGGGGGCCGCACACGTCAGACAGCACACAAAAGACTGTCCTCAGACATATTTGAGCGCAAGCCACCGCGAAATCCGTGCCCCGAATGGCGCGGGGCAACAAGTTCAAAAGGGGGGGCGGGATGCTCTTTGTGTTTCCTGAGGTTCCAATAAAACCTATCAGTTGCGAGTGAGCGCTCGTCCGTCGTTTCTGTTTCTCCCTCTGTCCTCGTCTTTTGTGCGATTTTAAAACCAAGATGAGTTCAAAAAGAAACTCGGCACGCACCACCCAAACCAGGAACACCGCGGCGGCTCGCGTCCGCAGGCCGCCCCCTGCACGATGCATGAGCAGCGCGACCCCGGCCCAAGGGACCGACGCGGCGTGGTCGCTCTCAAGCGTATTGTCTACGTCCTTGGAGGCGTGAACTGATGATATGTATCATTATAACGAGGGCCCAAGTCCGCTCCGCCACACAAAGTCGAGGAGAGAAGTCAGGACCCTCGTCCGGCGCTCGGAGTCGCCGGCAGGATGCGCCCATTCTTGCAAGGTCGTCGGAAGGTCTTCTGGAAGAAGGATAGCCCATGCTGCTTGACACTGGGCAACCAGAGCTGCGCACGCCCAAATGAGATGATGAAGTTTCGGGAGGGAATCTGGGTCTTTGCATCGCTGGCAGCGAGAGTCTCGCGAAACATAGTAAGGGTCAAGTTTACGTTGCCGGGTCAGCTCGAAGCGATAGACGTGATGAGGCGTGACCGCTCCACCTGTCCTAATGCGTCGAAGCAGGACCATCTGGTGCCGACGGAACGTGTTTTCGGATATTAGGAACTGTTCTGGGGTCCAAGAGTCGTCGAGCCGGCTTTTCCAGTCCTGACGGACGAGGCAAACTGCATCGACTGGGTCGTACACGTAGGCCTCGTCTTCGGGAAACATCGTTAGCCGACGTGGGAGGCACCTGTAAGGTTCGCCGTGAGGAGGGGAAGTCTCTATACAGTTCTTCCAATGCAGCCTTCGGGCCTTCTCGTTGCCGGAAATGACCGCATGTCCTGGGACCCAGCGTATACTGATGGCGGTACAGGCGAAGTGCAGTGTCGTAAATAGCGGCGATTGTCGGACTCGATGTGAGTAGATGCGCCTTAAGCGCGCGAATCGTGTTCTGAGAGTCCGTGAACACCGTAAGCGTGCCGGGCTCTGGATTCCTGACCTCATACGTCTGGAGGGCGAGGGAGACAGCGCGGGCTTCGGCTTGTTCGGGCGATGAAAGGGTCATGTTGGTGTTTGCAACAACGATAGGATCACACTCTTCCGGGTCATGGGACGGGAACAGCGCAGCTGTCGCAGACTAACCGGATGTGTGCAGGGCAGCATCGATATACGCGATGACCTGAGCAGGGTCCTAAGATAATGCGGTGACCTCGGCTTGGTGTTGGCGGGCATAATGTTCCGACGCTTGGCGTGGCGCTTGGCATTCATATTTCGCGGGACAGGCCGGGCACGTTGCGTGAGGTTAATGAGATCCCATAGAGGCTTGGTAGGCGGCAGGTCGTTTATGTTTGTTACAGCTACTCCAATGAAACGCGCCACTGCCGTCCCCTGGAGCGTATGCTCAAGTCAGGCCATGAGGATGTCGAGTTGCTGTTCTATAGTGTCTCTCGAAGGTCGGCGAGGTGCAGGCACTTGCGAAGCTCTGACGTTCGCGTGTGTAGAGGGTGCCCGAGGATGGTTCGGCGGGCCTCGTTATACAGCGTTGCAGTCTTGTCGAAATGAACTCGTTTGAGGTAGTAGAAACGCGCTGCATAGGCCACCTTCGAAGCAAGGACGGACGTGACCAGAATCTTGGCGATACGTTCTCCCGCCCCTTTCAGACGATGGAAGATGCGACGGACGAGGTGTAGGCCGTGTATCCATTGCCGCAAAATAGATTTAACCCATTCAACTGCTACTTGAGAGCTGTACCCGAAATTCACGCCAAGGGTCTTTAAGAAGGGCTCTTTGCTTATGTGACTACTGTCAAAAGTGAGGCCCAAGTCCAGGGTAGAATGCCCACGGCCGTACAACGTGTACTTCGTTTTTTTTTTTTTTGTTTTTTTTTTTTGAGACGGAAACATGCCGACGCGGCGAAGGTGAGAGTGGATGTCATTCAGACCCGCTTGCAGCGCTGTCTTTTGCGTCAAAACCGAGCCTTGGCATGTCCAGATGGTAATGTCGTCGGCGGAGGCAGTATCTCGTAGGTTCGGAATACGATGGAGGTCCCAGAGTAGCGGTGCCATGACAATGTTAAATAATGCGGGTGACAATACTGCTCCTTGAGGGACTCCAATGTTGTTCTCCTTGGTAGTACTGCTACGCGCGTCAGGGCCATAGCCCGACTTGACGAGGTGTCGGCGGCCGGCCAGAAATGACCGGACAAAATCTAGTTGTTTCCCATCTACGCCCTGCTCGTACATCGAGGAGAAAACGGCTTCGTGTGGGACCGTGTCAAAGGCCTTCTTGATGTTCACCATGACCACGGCCCGGAGCTGCTGGCTGTTGGGCTGCCATGCAGCGATATCATGGTAAATCATGGCCAGACTATTGTGGGTACTCAAATTCTTGCGGAACCCTGTTTATGTGGGATGAAAGATCCTGAGGTTTTCTGATTACCACTGAATGCGTGCAAGTACCATTCGTTTCATCAACTTTTCCAATATGGATGTAAGGGAGATGGGACGCAGGTTTTTCGGGTCGGTCGGTGGTTTGCCGGGTTTGGGGAGGGGGGTAACCTATGACATCTTCCAACCCTCAGGGAGGTGACCCGTGTGCCAGATGTAGTTGAATTAGTGAAGGATACCTTACCTAGCGGCACGAGGTGCATTACGAAGCATCGGGGTTGTAACTCCATCGGGCCCGGGGGCACCCTTAGGTTTGCACTGGGCGATCGCCGCATCAAGTTCTCACTCAGTGAATGGCTGGTTCCCAGGGTTTTCCGTGCCCACAATGTCGGCATACACGGGTCTATATACAACGGGGGATGGGAGATCGTCAGGTTGCGGAAAGAATGATGAGCCAAGCTGATTCAGCATATCTTCCTCGGGGTCTGTCGAAAGCAGGGTCAGAAGAGGGACAGGGCTACACGACTTGCGTCTGCCATACATAGCGTTAAAAGTTCGCCACACCTCGCCGAGCTTCGTAGTCCTGTCAAAGGACTCGCAATGGGCAATCCAGCGTGTGAGGCTGACGGTCTGGGCGTATGTGCTAGCTTCATTGGTGAGAAGGCTCACACGTTTTAGGTAGCAGCGCCGCTTGTGTTTCCGGAACTTGGTAAGTGCAGCCGTGCGACGATCCCAACGCGATAGCAGATGTGTGTCCGGAGTGGGTGTATTCATATCCACCTGGCGGGAGTCAGTCGTAGACTTTGAAGCCGTCGTAAGAAAGGACGAAATGTTAGCAGGGTTGATATCTTCGATGTCTTCCTATATAAAGGCACGAAATCGATCCCATTTTATTGTCTCCGTGGGTCGCTTGATCATTTTACGTTTGCCTGCATATAGCTTGAGCCCTATGAAGAAATGGTCGCTTCCCCACACGTCGGGAAGCACAGTCCACGCGAGAAGGCGGGCTGTCGACGCGGGTGCGAGAGTGGGATCTATCACACTGTCCGATCGGCGTGGCGATGTGCCATACCCATAACGCGTCGCGCAATCTAAATTACTGACGATCGTTAGGTACATTAGTTCGAGGACAGTGCAGAAGTCCCGTGCGCACGGGGTATGCGGCGCAGAACTCCACGATTTGAAGGGAGCGTTTAAGTCTCCTCCAAATATTACATAATCAGAGGAGTACTTATCGCGGAGCGCTTTGATCCACGAAAAGTCGTAAGCTGCGTGGAGGGGCCGAACGTATGTGGAGACAATCAAGAGGCATTTATAGTCGGATGCAACCTGAGAACAATCTTTTAGCTCCACCCACAAGCGCATTGCGCCCATCTGAAGTGCCTCCGCCTTCGAGAAAGTAGTTCGCTAGCAACGTTGCTTTTTCTTCCTCCAGGAAACGTGTCTTAAACTACTACAATATTTATTTAATTCATTCAGGACATTTAAATAAGTTAGAATACGTTTTTGTCAACGAAATTGCTGTTTAGTAAAGAAAGAAAGTCATGTCCAATGTACCGTCTTCCCAATTCATTTTCTGTCCAAAATACTGTCTAACATACCGTCTTCCAGCGGCTTCCAGTGCTAAGCCTCGTGCCCGCTTCGAAATTTTCGTTGGCGATAGCGTCGCTGGATTCTCACGTTGTCGCGCAAAAACTGCTGCAAACGCAAGCCGATACCATTAAGATTTCGTGGCGTAACCTCGGGCACGTAAAACACGGTGCAAAAAGCAAAATAATTGTCACGAGAAACTAGCGTCGCGTTGCTAAGGCCAGCAACCATGTTGAGCTTTTTTTTTTTTATCAAAAGGATCGCGATTGGTCCATGGAATCGTGACGTCATGAAAACGATTGGCTGTCGTTTCTCGGCGTAGGATTACATTTTCCTCTGAGAGGCATTTCCGGTTTTTTCTTAGCTTGCAACCGACTATAGTAATTCCGTTGAGAGCGACGCGGACCGCGACTACCTCCTGCGTGGTGGTACACCAGTTCATCGTGTCTATCTTGATATGCGAAACACCACGACGGTCATATATACTGGCCTGACCACTAGTAAAGGGGGTTTGGCGTGAACGCCCCGGATATTCTCTCGTAGGGTTGTGGTGCCCTTCAAAAACTGACAATGTAATGTTCTTGGCGCGAGATTCCTGCAGTGAAAGAACGTCACAGGTATATTGTGGATCTGATAGGCGCGTAAGGAGTTGGGCCTTTCTTGTTGCTAGCCCACGACAGTTCCACTGCAGGATCCGGAACGGAGCGTTATTCAGGAGTCTATAAGCCATTACAGGTTTTGGATCTGGATCGGCGGACTTTGGGGGACGACCATGAACATTGCAGAGTGCTCCGCATGGGTCGCCGGCCGCTCTTGTGTGCCTCGAGCGTGCACGAGCAGCCAAAGCACGACGGAAGGCAGCGGGCACGTGCAGGAGGCCGAGAATCCAAAGGAGAAGCCCTACTACTCTCATTTCGCCAGTGACTATACGGATCGCAAGTTCGTCTGCTTCTTGCGCCGGGGGTCATGGTGACGTCAGAACGCCGAGCTTTGGTTCGCTTCGATTTTAAGGATCGTGGATAGACCTCAAGGGCTAGCTTTGAGGTCCACTCACTATCCTTCAAATCAGAGCCAATCAGAGGTCGGCCTCTTTCTGACGTCACCGCAACTCCTGTGCAAGAAGCAGACGAACTTGCACTCCTCCTTGGCGACGTGCGCGATCAAAAGCGTCGCTGTGGTTGACCTTCCACGATTGTCCGAACGCTCACATAACGTCTGGAGTATGACGAATTCTACTTTTTATTTATGGAAATAACAGGAATGTCAGATTGTCAACCTCGACGGTGTTGGTTTGAGGACGCGGTGAAAACAAGCCTCCACCGTGTTCTTGACCCCACAAAATCGAAATTTTCGCTGGCAATAAAGAAATTCAGCTCGCGACGTCACAATTAGGAAGCATAATTGGGAGCCTCTGAACGTCCTCGTCGCCTATAAGAGGTGTGGTCTAACGGCAGTATCATCTACGGCCTTGCAGCTCACGCTGCCACTTGCTCTGGCAGAGCAGCGTATATGTCAACACTGACACGAGCACCTAGATACAACGAACTTACGTACAGATCTAACATGAGTTTGCCAAGTTTTACAAAAGTTACATCACTTACTTGTTTCCTCTTCCGTTAAATTTTTCAGCTCTTGTGCACCCTTTGGTCCGTTGGCGTACGAGAGAGTGGTGTAAGCCAGATTTGGTCCCTTTCCTGAATACCCGGCAATTCCTGCATGCACAGTACAATACGGGAAAACGTTGCAGCATAAAAAGTTGGGTTACTGTTAGGTAAACCCAAGCTTCACTAAAGTAAGCCTTTATCTGCAGCTTTTATTGCGTGTGTATGTGAACCCAGAACGCAATCTACAATGAGATGTCCGCAAGCCTGCCTCATTTTTCAAAAACCGCACCTTTCATCTCGTTTTTTTTTTTTTTTTTTTTTTTTCTTATAGGGGTTGGAACGTTTTCCACGTATCCGGGTTACACGCGTGCTTCCTGGATGTTGCACTATTACACAGCCATGCCCCGTTTTCGTCAACACGAGCCTCGATAAACGTCGATTTTCTTGCCCGACACCAAAAATAGACACCGAAAAACACCGAATTTGATAAAAAAACTACAAAAAAAAAAGAACCCTGAATTTCAAAAGAAACCCAACCCGAAAGCATGGCACCATGCAGTCACTGGAAATGGCGACTCCCGAGCGTCTCATTACCTCTCCGCAGCCAATCAGATGTAGGCATCACAATAAGAGCGCCAAAGAACAAATCACAGAACAAGACGCGTGAACATAATATGCCAGCCCCTGCGTTACTTAAGCTGTCACTGAGTTTACAATAATGCGAATCTCAAGTTCGTCTGCTTCATTTGCAGGGGTTCTGGTGACGTCAGAATGCCCGGAGCTCTGATTGGCTCTGATTGAAGAATAGTGGGTAGACCTCAAGGCGGCTTGCTTTGACGTCTACCCACTATTTTTCAGTCCGAGCAAATCAGAGCTCCGGGCATTCTGACGTCACCAGAACCCCTGCAAACGAAGCAGACGAACTTGAGATCCACATTGCCCACAGCTGCCCACGTCAAATATAGAAAGTACAGCACCTAAGATGTTGTTTCCTCTCTCGGCGTATCCTGAGATAGTCATAGTGTGCGAATGATCGGCAGTTACAACGATGAGCGTGTCCTTGGTGCCCAGGCGCCTGACCGTTTCATTCACGGTTCTTTCAAACTCCAGTGTCTCTTCAAGGGCAAGATAGGCCCTGGTGTCGTGGTGAGCGTGGTCAATGCGTCCTCCTGAGCAGAAAAGGTATAATCGTTGCATCATCTTAGGAATGAGCTCAGCTTCTACATAAACACAAAGCGTGTAAGGAAGACGTGGGCACAGATACACGCAAGGAAGAAACTACGAACCTGGCTTGACGGTCAAAAGTTGCCGAACACACTGAGCATGAATGGTATTAAGCATGCATATTTTCCAAGATATAGTTAATTCACTTAATTCATCCGCGTTTATTAATCCTACCATGTCTCCGACTAGAAAATGTAGTATTTTTGAAAGAAATAAATGAATTAATATTGGCAGCGACCTTTATCCCGAAAAGTTCTATAACGAGTGAAATGTAATATTTGAAAGTGCAATCGTTTAAAATTATTTAGAAGACATAAAACCACCATTTCAGGAAAAGAAGAAGAACCTTCGTCTCTATTTATTTTCTCGCTACATTGAGCGGGGAAACTGGGTGCATAGGTTACGTGGCATCAATTTCCCCGCTAAAGTTAGCGGGGAAACTATATCGGTGTATCGCGGTAACGTGACGTCAATTTTCCTATTAGATTTAGTGAGGAAATTGTATTGATGTGTAGCTCTCGAGACGTCGGGTCACGTGACACCAATTTCCAGCTAAATTTAAGGGGCAAGTGAATTGGCTTATAGGTAACGTAACGTGAGGTCACGTGACATCAACTGACGTCACGTGACCAAAACACCAATTCAGTTTTGCCGCTTAGTTGAGCGAGAAGTGCACGGACGAACGGACCGACGAACAGGCAAAAGTTTGGAATTGGGGGGTTTCGATAAAAGCATTTTATGCTTTAATAAATCAATTTTCTTTACACGCATTTGCGGCAGAAAACACTGTCAAGGTTGCAACAGAGGAAAGGCAACAAATAAAAAAAAGAAAGAAGAAAACGAAGACGTGGTCAAAATCAGGTGCACCTGCTCTTGCAAAAGTCTGCACAAAATACCACAATGGTCTACATCAGAAAAGCCAGTGCTCCACATGAAAAGCAGCAGCTAACGAAATTCGATTCGTTGGGAACCGTTGACGGGTTTGCATAGGTACTGCCGCACTGTCACATTAACGTTTTTTCGGACGCCTTACAACGCAGCCCATGGACGGACAACCCAAGGGCCAAATCAAAAAGTGGCACCACTTAGGTGCAGTCTGCAGCTAGATGACCACAAGAAGGAGCCCACTGAGGCAAATTCGACCTTGGGTCGCAGTAAGGAGGTCAGGGATGTAAAGGGACTTTCTGCAGAGACAACGAATCTCCCCAGCGCAACCTTCACATCCAGAGGGATGAGTTCATGTTTCGGAACCAGATTCTCATACATGAGTTGTTAGTTGTTACCTACCCTACGTCTCAATATGAACCTGGAAAAGACACTGGGAGAGGTGTAAGTAAATTGTCTTCATAAGAGAAGCCCGGAATTTAAAAAGAAAGATGCGAGCTTTTAAGACGAAGTCCGCAAGATCAAAACGGAGAACTTGGCTCGGCAGAAGTTGCTTACCCGCCTGTTTGGCAGCGTTGAAGGGGCGCGCTTACCATTCACTAAGTTTAACGGGGAGTTCGTACTCTCTGAATATAATGGACATATAAGTTCATCAATGCCAATTTTTCGCTAAACACAGGAACGTCGGGGAGAAGATGCAGCTGTCGCGAATAAAGACCTTCGCAAAAACGAACTTTAAATGACAGAACAAGAATACGAGACATTGGTTGACAAGCTGAAAAGCAATAGGGTATCCAGTAGACCAAGCAAGAGATTGAGAAGTTGTCTGACAAGCCGAGAGATACATTTTGAATGGTTTTCAGCGAATTTGGGAGCATAATAAGACATTGGCTGGCAAGCGGAAAGGGGTTTCCAGCAAATTTAGCAAGATAATGAGAAGTTGACTAAGTGTATGCCGAAAGGTTTTCAGCCAGTTCAGCTGAATAATGCGAATTTCGTTGATGAGCTGAAATGTGTACGGAAGGGATTTGAGCAGAGTAAGCAATAGGACGACATTTATCTGGAAATAAGACAAGCCGGAACAAATTCCACCACAGGCCGATGCCCAAGACTGAAGTCACAATTAATGGGAGTTTTATGAACGCCATTCCGTCGACAGCTTGCACGAGAGGTACCGAAAAAGATTTGAGACTTGTAAATAATAAAAAAGAAAGAAAAGAAGAGACATATTGCTGGAATGCGGTGGCATAAAGACAAAGAATTTTAAATGAACATGACGTTTCGAAGAGAAGCTGTCGGGAGCACTCTGAGTCAAAACAACCAGCACCAAACCAATCGGCAAGGTTCCGCGCACTTGAGAATGTAAAAAAGTAGTTATTTATGTGACCTCGTTAAGGGGCAGATTTAAGAGAAAAGGGGGGGGGGGGGGGGGGAGGGGGTTCACACCACCCCTAAGCCTCCCAAGGGCGACTTATTACATTGTTTTATAAAAAAATTGACATGCACCAGCATTTTTGAGCACAGCTCTTAGGCGCCCGTTTCCGGGTTTCGCGGCATCGGCGTAACCACGCTAAATAAGCGGGAAAATTGAAGTCACGTGACCTCAACTCCAATTCAATTCCCTGCTAAATTGAGCGGAGAAAATAACGTCACATGACTTGGTGACACGTCACCTATGAACAAATTCAGTTTCTCCGCTGGATTTAGCGGGAAAATTGACGTCACGTGACCTTAACAGCAATTCAGTTTCCCCGCTACGTTTAGCTGGAAAATTGACTTCCCGTGACCTCAGCACAAATTCAATTTCCCCGCTAAATTTAGCGGGAAAAATGTCGTCACATGACTTGGTGTCACGTCACTTATAAACAAATTCAGTTTCTCCGCTAGATTTAGCGGCAAAATTGACGTCACGAGCCGAGGAGGAGGAGGGGAAGGTACGAAGAAGGTGAAAACGAGGGGGGAGAAGGAGGAGGCGGAGGAGGAGGAGCGGAGAAAGGGGGAGGAGGGGAAAAGAAGAGTAGATGGGCAGAGGATGAGGAAAGGAGGAGGGGAGTAGGAAAGGGTACGGAGGAGGAGGCGGGGCCATATTCTCTCCTCCGTACTCTCCACTCCTCCGCCTCAAGAGCTGCGCTCTAATTTCGCGTCAGGATTTGTGAACGTCTTTAATTTTTTTAGGAAGAAATGTTTAGTTTTAGATGAAATAGAAATTATTCGGCCACCAAAATATACTGTATTGAAAATGCTTCACGCGTGACGTCAAATCTCTGTGCAGTAAACAAGTCTGACCTATGAATCCGGCCCTGACCTTATTCACGGAGCGTAACGAAGACCTCACCTTCAACAAGGAGAACAAAACCAGACGGTGACCTTGTGAGGAGGTCCAACGCTTTGCTGGTCATTTCCTCCAGGCTAGGTTGCTGTGCGCTGGGGAGGGTTCGATTTACAACATACGCCATGCTGTCTTGACTGAAGAGGCCTGAAACACGCCGATCGGTGATGAGGAGTGAGAGGGTAACCTCGCAATTTGTGAAAGGTATGGGGCAAAAGATTGAGCTGCATTTTAAGTAAATCACAAAAATTGGCCTTTAGAGATGCGATGCTGTAATTTACCCCAAGAATGTGTCCAAGTTACATACCTATGCTGTGGAAATTGCAAATTACATTGCAAATACACAAAATGTTAATTTTGTGAAAGCAGTCGTGAAAGCTACCTGAATGCGGTCTACGCAAGTGAGTAATACGGCCAGGCGGACATTACGTTCAAGAGAGAGTGCAATTGACGACTAATTAACGAAATTCACGAATTACTTTTAGAGCGGAGCTCTTAGGCGCCTGTTTCCAGCTTGAGCGGCGTCGGCGTAACCGCACGATGCAGTATGGGTAAATTTCCCCGCTAAATTTAGCTGAAATATTTCCCTGCTAAATTTAGCGGAAAAATTTCCTCGCTAAATTTAGTGGAAAGATTTTCTCCTCTAAATTAAGCAGAAAAATTTCCTTGGTAAATTTAGCGGAAATATTCCCCGCTAAAATTAGCGGCAAATGATTCCCCGCTAAATTTAGCGAAAAATATTCCCCGGTCAATTTAGCAGAAAACATTTCCCGCTAAATCTTGAAGGGAAATTTTTTCGCTGAATTTAGCGGGGAATATTTTCCGCTAAATTTAGCGGGACATTTAGCGAAAATTTTCCGCTAAATAGGAGGGGAGGAGGAAAGGAGGAGGGGAGGAGGAGGAGGGGCATAGCCTCCCCTCCTCCTCCTCAAGAGTTGCGCTCTAATTCGGCATTACGGAGAATTGTAGACGTTTTTCACTTTCTAATTATACATTTTAGGGCACATGTTTATATCAAAGAAATGAGGGCAATCAATGCTGAAGGCTAGCCCAGTTCTTACAAATCCTGGATCGAACACGCAATTTGAGTTATTCGTTGCCAGATTTTGCTCAGGAAATCTGTCGATACCGAAACCAGAAGGGCGATGCCCGCCGGAAGGACAACCGTCGGTTGACGCCGGAGGGTCACGAGTTAATGACGAAATTTGCGTCACAGCGCGAGCTGACAGTGGTCGGTGCTCCGTGGTTGGTGAACTACTTCGCTTCACCTGCAGTTCAGACGCAGTCGATGCTACGAGCTGATGGAACCAATCAGACAATGTCGAAAGCGCAACGTCATGGTGTTTGCTATGTTTCTGTACGTGTTCTATCATCGCAGAACCCATCATAAACGGAAAAGTCCAATTGACTTGCACTTTTGACGCTTCTTGATTAGCTCGTGGCGTCGGCTGCGTCTCGACTTAAGCTGAAACGGGGTATGAAGAGATAAGTCACCTTGTCGGCAAGGACAAGTTGCTTTGCTTTGCTGCGCAATATCACTGAAAAAGTTATTAATCACAAACGCGAGTCAGGTAAAAAAAACTCTCAGCCTAAATTATTTTTTAAAACGTTAATGCTTCGGTGCGCTGTTACGTTAAAGTGACGCAAATTTCGTCATTAACACATGACTCTGCGGCGTGAAACGAGGGCAGTACCCCTCCGGTGGGCATCGTGCATTTGATTTTGGTATCGACAGATTTCCACAAACAATAATTTGGCAATGAATAATTCGAACTGCGTTCCCGATCTAGTATTTTTACAAACCGGGCTGGCCTTCACCTTGATTGCCTTGATTCCTTCAATGTAAACATGTACACTAAAACGTCTAAGAAAGTAACTGGTGAATTTTCATTAATTAGTCATCTATTAGTTGCATTCGCTTTGGAACATAATGTCCGCTGGCCGTATTATTTAGTTGCGCAGATTGCATTTGTGCAGCTTTCACGGCTTTTTTTGTTTTGTTTTTGATCTATATTCTATGGGGAAAAAAGTACCCTCTATATTTTTTCTATGTAAATAACTGCTTGTCACGTGTGCATGATTCTATCTAAATTCTAAAACCTGGTCCTTATGTAAATGCGTTCGTGAAAGTTCATTTAATGTCACTTTTTTTTTGTTGCGGTTTTTCTCATTGAGAAGGTGCCGAAAAACAAATGGCACTATCTACGTCATAATATAACACCGTGCTGTTATCGCTTAAGTTTCTACTGATGGGTGGTAATGTTGAGCACAGACAATTTTTTTTGCATACAATGATGTCAACAATACAAAATATAAACATGTGGGGGATCCCAAGGTTTTCAAAGAAAGCACTTTAAAGCCCCTTGTGATTACGATAGATTTAGTAAAAACTAAAAATTGAGAATAATCAACGCAGCATAAAGGTCAATAAAAAAACTTGCGAAATTGAATAAACTAATGAAGTGTGAAATTGTCTGGTGTATTGTGTAAATTTAATAAACACTTTAACTTATATGTTTCGTGTGCACTGCGAAATCTAAACGATACAGGAAACGAGGAACTCTAAATCAATAAGTACAAATACTGTACCGCAGTTTGCGCTTTTAATTTACGACAAAAAGAAATGAATGAAGCTAAGCAACTTACGCAGTGCTAAAAAATAAGAAAAACAGCGAAGGGGATTTTGAAATATAATATATAACGTACCAGGTGTTGGTACCTGTCCAGAGAAATGTTGGGTACCAGTAATTATAACTAAAAAAACAGTTAGAAAGAAGGCGACATGGATGGAATTATAAATTTTGTAAGACAACCTTACTGGTGTAAGGAAATCAAAATATTCAAAATAGTAAGCCAACGAAAGAGAGCGACAGACGACGCCTCAATTTTAACTAGTCTGCTTAGATACGCGCTTTATTTATCCTCCGTCTTAATGTCGCCAACAAACAATATTCACGTTCAACCCATTTGAACATTCGACTTGAAGAACATAAACGGTAATTAATTCAACAGGACATCCCTTAACGTAATGTTATATCCTTTTGTCCTGACTATTTTAAAAACTACGAACAAGATTATATAAGGCTGGTCACTATTTAGGGTTTGGGGCTGTCCATTTGGTTCCTTGATAGGGTGATGTTTTCTTTAACTTGGTTGTACATGGTGTTTCTATAAGGGTATGAGGTTAAGTTTGAGACGTTGTCTGTACTTTTTCTTTGTTGTTTTCGCTTTGGATTTGTTTTTGCCTCAGTTTTGTATTATCTTACGTGATGGTAAACCTGAAATTAGTTTCTAAAACACCTTTTGCAGTAACATAAAGTGTGATGTATTTACATTGGATTTTCACTTACCCAAGATATAATCTGTTTCGTTAGTGTCGATTCGCAGCAGCTCCTCCCTAGTTTTGACGTATCTGCCTGTTGATTTTTTCTTTGTCACCCAATCATCGGTTAAGTTTCGCCCGTCCACTCTATATCCACGTTCGCCCTTCGACGTCCTATTCAGAAAGGAGTCTCTCCCTCCTCCCATAACCACCTGGAATGCACAAAAGTAGCTAATAAGCACAGCCAATAATAATTTTTTGTTGTAGAAGAATGTACGAGGTACGATCGAAAAGGTCCGGTACTACATTTTTACCGTCAAAAGGAGGGGGCAGTACGGTGATACGGGCCCAGCTGTCGAAGGCAGGGACCTTCGTGTGACATGATGCCACAGGATATCGTTCTGTGACCATTCGGTGCTGCTGTACCCGAGGTTTTTAGACCACGTGTACTAGAACATCGGCGATATCACCATACACTGCAACCAGAGCAAAGACCGAAAATTGATTCTGCGCCAAACTCGGCAAATTTTCAACAGAGACCTTACAATGAATCGACGGACTTATGACGAAAAAGAACTCACTTGTTCCAGGTGTTTGGAGTGGTGCTCGCTCTTCAATAATGGCAGAACATCACTGGAAGACAAAAATAGGTCGTGGAAGGCCGCCTCACCTCTCCTCATGTTCCACTGATGTTCCATCATTCTTGAAAAGCGAGCACCACTGAAAACACCTCGCACATGTAAGTGCTTTTTCGCCATAAGTCTGCCGATTCATTTTAAGGTCTCAATTCCGATTTTGCCGAGTTTGACGCAGAGTGAATCTTCGCTCTTCGCTCTGGTTGCACTCTATGGTGAAGTCGCCGATGTTCTCGTACACGTGGTCGGAAAAACTCGTGTAAAGCAGCCCCAGGCAGTCTCGTACACGAATTAAAATGACAGAATTACAAACTACTTATCTTCTCAATTCACTATTTTTTGTAAACCTTCGTCCTGTCTGTGACTTGGTTCCAGGATTCCTTAGAATTAAACTCGTAAAAACAATGGGCGCAATTAAAAAGTGGAGGGAAGCATAGTAACGGTAAGAAATTATATTAGTACCTTCACAAGTAATCACATTACTCTTGTGATTACTTGCTAACAAAAGTAATCAAATTATTCCAAAATTACTTACAAAATTAGTCGATTACAAGTAATGTGACATTATGCCCCGTGGCATAATGTCACATGAAGGCCCTGCCTCCGACAGCTGCGCGCGCATCGCCGTTCTGCCCTCTCTCTTTGTGTTACACATCTATGCTTCTGTTCAGCGTAAGTCGAGACGCAGCCGACGCTACGAGCTAAAGGGACCAATCAAACAGCGTCAAAAGCGCGAGTCACTGGGCACTTTCCGTTTACGACTAGTTTAGCGGTGATAGAACACGTACGGGAACATGACGAACACCATGATGGGCACTTTTGACGCTGTCTGATTGGTCCCATCAGCTCGATAGCGTCGGCCGCTTCTGGACTTAAGGTGAAGCAAGTATAGGGTCTCGGAACTTTTTGATCGCTCCTCGTATGGTTGCTGACAGCTTAAGAAGCACAGAGCATGGCAAGTCTCGTGCATCTCATCATGGCTCCGCAGCCAATCAGATTGCGGCACGAGTCTGAGAACCGATCACGAAGCGTGAACATAAGCCACGCCCTGAGTTTTATGAGCTGCCGGTGATTGCATATTCGCAAAAGGGAAGTGGTATTTATTCGTTAACTTTATTCTGTAAAAAATCGCCATAAACCAGTACAGGGTGTGCGGAGGTGAACAAAAAACAACAAATGGCAAAATAATTGCGAAAACAATAATGGCCCAAGCTCCAATTTCGACAAGATAATGGCGGAACTTCCAGGGGGAGCAAATCACTTTCGATTGGCTACTTTGTTTGCTTGTTTTTGAGGACCTTCAGTTAATAGCGCATACTTTAAAAGTCTCACCGCCGAGGAGTAAGTACGGTACCTTCCGACATTTACTTATACCGGATCGACCTCCCTTCCTGTTTCCTTGGGTGAAAAGAAAGAGTGCTTGTTCCTCAAAACAATTACAAATCTGCTGAGGGTATACTGGGCGCATATCGGGATTATCTATTGGACTAGACTGGGCCATATACACGAGAACAACTTAAAACCTTCAAATCCCTAAACGCGTTCAACTACTTCGTGAACGGAAAGGCATCCGTAATGGACCCCTACCTTCCTTAGGTGCCGAAGATACGCGCCGAGCTTCCCCGCCGGGGTCGCCGAGCCGGTTCTTGGTTTTAATAATCTTCCGAAAGTTCTTATCACGCTTCCTTTAAAGCGACGCGAGTCCTTCTATTGCACAATTTATTCTAGTGTTTTGACTTGCTTGCCTTGATATTAAAGTTTTCTTTCCCAGATCACCGTGCACATTGGATTTGTACGTGCCGTATATAATAGCCTATCGTTATACCTGGTTGTACTAGTTGCACGAAGATGGTCGGTCGGGGCGCCGCGTTCACGCATTGATCGCGTTGGGCCATCGGTCGGCAGCACATTGTAGTTCGTTTTTTACGTGTTTACTGAGGAAGACGTGTTTACCGAGGAAGGTAAACACGTCTCAATGATTCACGTGCTAGCCTTTAGCCGGCTACCCTAAAAAGGGGGGGGGGGGGGGGGGGGGACGAGGTTTAGGCCTGTTCATCTAAACCTCGTCTGCCTCTTCCCCTCTCTTTCCCCAAAGCTCCTCCCCTTTCCTCCACCGTAAACCGGATGATGTTGCGTCCACAGGAGCGCGTCAATCAGAGTCGTCGAAGTAACACACACAATCTATTCCGAATACGCTGCCTGGCTATAGACCTTTTCCACAAGGGCGCCGCCATCTTGAATTATCGTCACTTCCAGTATGGGCGAAAACATTACTTTGCCGTCGCCGCGCCAATAGAACATATTTAGGATATAAGCCTAACCGTCACAGGTTTTCGTTTTGGCTTCCCTCTATTTTTTTACTGGTTACAGGTTGAAACGTTTTACTATTTTGTCGTCGCCCATACTGGAAGTGACGACAGTTCAAGATGGCGGCGCCCTTGTGGAAAATGTCTATAGAGCAGACTTGTAAGGTACTCGTTACAAGTAATCAAATTACATAGAATACTATTTTTTTGAACATTTTGATAACATTTATTACGTAGTAGTCACAGTAGTAATCTCACTACTTTTTGAACTGTTAGAAGGAATCGTAAACGTAACTTTTTTTTCCCCTTCCCGTTTCTAATGGCGCCCTTTGTTCGCACATGCAAGTTTCCTACCAAGGAATCCTCGAGCCATATCGCCGACAGAAGGATAGTTTACCAAAAATCTTGGAATAAGAAGGAGTTTATAGTTCGGTGATTTTGATCCATTAATGGAGGGTTTAAAGAACCGTTTGGTGCACATCCCATACGGTACGATGGGCCATCCAATACTACACACTGCGCATGCGCTACAACAGAATGACTATCATATGAGCATGCAGTTCGTAGCAGAAGGTCCATCGTACAGTATCGGATGTGCAAAAAAGGTTGCCTAAAACTCCCTTATGAACAGTACGAAAGACCCGTTTTCAAACCGGCAGAAAACTGTCGTTTTGAAAATTCGAAGTAATCGGAGAAGTAACGGTTACTTTTTCAAGTAACGGCCAATTAATTTTGGCCTCGAGTAATCGAGTAATCCTAATAAATATTTCTTAAGCGAGAGTAATTGTAACGGTAGTCGATCACTTTTTTCGAGTAACGTATACAAGACTGGGCTAGACTGAAGAAGCGCGCTTTCTTAACGTTTTCCGCATTGGGAGGGGGGAGGGGTTCCGCTTGTCGCTGTAGCATGATGGGGTCGCCGTGGTCTATACCCCTTCTACAGCGCTTTAGGTAAGAAGTGTGAGCATCATTCGCCCAGCATTTTTAAAGGTGTAGCCTACTATCTATGAAACGTACAGTGCGCTGCAATATGAAAGACCCACTGGGAGCGCGTGGCCGAGGCGGTGGCTTGCGGGGGCGTTGCGACCGCTCCGGGCAATTCCATTCTGCTTCGAGGGGAGGACGCTCACTCGGGGATCAGCACAAACTGATGAGCGCGTTGCGCGCTTTAGCTGAGCCCCGAGTGAGCGTCCTCCATTCGAAGCAGAATGGAATCACCCGGAGCGCTCGCAGCGTCCCCACAAGCCACCGCCTCGGCCACGCGTTCCCAGTGGGTCTTTCATATTGCAGTGGACTGTACCATTGGAAAGTTTCAGCATATCGTTTTGGCGCTCCGGTAACGATACCCGATAACGAACCGAGGCGTGCACAAAGGTGCTGGCGAAGCTGGAAAGGTCGAAGTAGATCTATTCCAATCTGCTGGAACGGTGCAGTCGGAGGCGTGATCGGCTGCAGGAGGCCTGCCGAATTCGTCTGCAATTTCATCTGTCGCTGGCACTCGTGGCACGATCGTGTGTACAGGTGAACAGCCTTCGGGAGCATCGGCCAGTAGTACTTATCTTATAGTCTTGCGAGAGTCCTGCTGTAGTCAAGGTGGCAAGATGTCGGGTCGTCGTGGCAGGCTTGGAAGATCTCTTCACGAAGAATTGTAGGGATTACCAGGAGCCACGTTCAGTTGCTGTCCTAGAAGTTCTCTTTGTAGAGAATACCTTTCCGGACGGGGAATGTTCGTAATACACGTGAAAAGGCTCGGGGAATCGTTCCCCCTCGTCTATCCAAATGATCGATCAGTGCGCGAAGTTTAAGATTGTCCCGTTGGAGCGCTGCCACGGAGTTAAGGTTCACTGCGCCAAGGAAGCGAACGTCGTCGTCGTCTCTGTCTTTGTCAAAGCCGTTGACTGACTCGACAAGGCCTCTGGGCAAGCGGTTGGCGTCACTGTGTTTTTGGGCCTGACTTGTATAGACCACGGTCACGTCGTACTCTTGCAGTCGTAGGCTCCATCGAGCGAGGCGTCCCGATGGGTCCTTCAGACTCGCTAACCAGCACAGCGAGTGGTTGTCGGTGACCACTCGAAAAGGACTCCCGTACAAGTACGGTCGGAATTTCGTGATGGCCCAGATGACGGCCAGACATTCCTTCTCAGTCGTCGAGTAATTGCGTTCCGCGTTCGAAAACGTCCAACTAGCGTATGCGATCACGCTCTCTGCACCCTCTTGTCGTTGGACCAGTACCACTCCGAGTCCTGTATTGCTAGCGTCCGTGTGAACTTG